TTTTGTTACTTACATTGCATTCTTGTACTGTACCAGAGTTGGTGACCATGTTCCATCGGTGGAAGAGATGAGTCAAAGCCGCTGGCTGTATTTCAGGTGACATCATGCTTTCCTTGATACCATATTAACCTGGTGCTTGGCTTTCTTCATCTTTATAACACTAAGCGTGTGCTCTTTTTCCATACTATGGCATGCTGCTGCTTCTCCTTTTCTGCAGAGTGCCGTAGATGTTCCTCAGTTCTGAGCCTGTTCTCTTCTGAGCTGGGAGTGTGGTTCACACATCATGTCTTTAGCTTAAAAACCAACAACAAACAAACAGACAAACCCCCACAAAACGCCACAGCCTTTAACTGTTGTGTATGGGTAATTAATGAAGCAGAATTAGTGTCTCTAATGGCCTGGGAAGACTTGAAACTTGATAAAACATGGATGTGATCCTATGGTCCTTAATCACACAGGTATTCTTAAGTATTCTTTGGGCTTATTTCATAAAAGTGTTCAGGTTGGAAGAGACTTCATAGATGATTTAGCTCAGCCTTTGGGGGAATGTATTTTAAAAACTGAGGGTTATCACATTGCTTTATAGGAAGATGCTAGTAAGAGTGGAGATAAACCAGAATCCTAGTCTTCTCCAGTTGGTGGTTTCTAGAGCTGATACATGGATAGAGAAAGAAGGGAGGGGGAAATAAAATCTGTAACTGTCAGCTATAGGAGAATGTGTATTTCTGTGTGTGTGTATATGTATATATATAAATATATACAGAATATTTACCTGAAGAAAACTTTTGTGTGGGGCAATGGTAAGTTATTCATGTATCCTGTCACACTTGAAGGTTCCCAGCCAACTACTAAATTTGCCACAGATGCAGTATGTTAGCTTGTACAGACAATTTAAAAACTGTTATCTATTACAGTTAGTTTGGGCTGTTGCCACACTAATTACATATGCTAGAATTTAATAAAGCCTGGTATTTTGGTAACTTGTCATCTGTGTTGCAGGGCCTTGGAAAGGTTTTTGAAGTATCAGAAGAAATGGTTCCACCCATTTTAAAATGACATAGTGGAGAACTTGAAGTAGTTCTATCTGCTTTTTTTTACCATTCCTTTCCATACATTTAGTTTCCATTTTGCGTTCCACATTTTGTGTGTCAACCATTTTCTACCACACTGTTTAAATTACTGAATAGGCTTAGCATTTGAGGGATCAAATCTAACTGCTTTCCTACACGGGATACTGGAGTTCTAGCTGTAGAATAAGAACCAAGAAGGTCAGAAGTCAGTTAAGAGCAGAAACGCTTTGGTATTGTGTGTTAGGAGATCAGTGGTAATCCCTTTGCTATTACAGAGCTCTTAAAGTGTGAAGAGCCTTTCATACCTTAAAAACAAAAAAATGTTTTAATTAGGCAGGAGTGAAAAAATAGACTTAAATTGGATTTTTACTGTAGCATACTCTCGTCTACGTATTGCAGTAAACTTCCCAAGGCAGAAATAAAGATGGCTGAACTTTATGTACTAGTAACTCTGTACTGAAGTATTAAGTTATCTGTCAAATACCAGATTGATGCCAATGGGGGAAGTAGATGGATTTTTTTCACCAGTTTGGGGATATGTATGCATTGTTACAGCTGAAAGACTGCTCATACTCTTCATCTGACATCTGCTTCTTAAGAGTTACTTATTTGAATTGCTGCTGTACACCCTTGGGGGATCCACACACAACTGCTGCAGTGGGCTTTCAGATAGGGTGGAAGGGAAAACAAAGATGCTTGCTGGCATCTGCACTGCCCTGGCCTTGCCTGTCCCGCAGCCCACGTCCGTCCCCCCCAGTCCTCATCACGCAATCTGTGCCTCTTCAGCAAAACACTGTTTTCAACCAGAGCTGGCTTGCTCGCCCGCCTTTCGGCTGGGGGGCCTGAGGAGAACACCACAGTTGTTAGTAAGGCTAACCTCCCTGTGCCCCTGATCTCTGAGAGGGGATCTGCCTAAATCAATTCAGTAACAATTTTTCTTCATTTAACAACTGGTTAAATGAGAACTGGTACTGGCCTTTACAGCACATTTAAATTATGGGAAGCTTTTAAAATGTACTTAAGGATGTGAGGTGGATTTTCTTCTTTTAACCACCAGAAAACAATTATGTTGAAGACAGACGTGCATCAGCTTTACTTGTACTTTTAATTATGGAAGTAATTAAGTAAGGATGAAGTAACTAAATGTTTTCTGTGCTTCTCTTCACTGTAAAGGAGGTTGGGAGAGACTTGACTGTTTTTTCGCATTGTTTTGTTTCAGGTAATAAAGTGAGACTTTCTAAGAAATTTGGGGACAGGGCCTGCAAAAACATGATGCTTGTCATGAGACCAGGGTATACATACCTTGAAACTTAAACAGGCAGACTTGCTGCAGAAAAATAAAGCTTCCTATACAATTCATGCTAGAGTACAGGATAAGAGACACAGCATGCTGGATGAAAGAAATGAAAAGTAGTTATGGAAATTCAAAACAGTAATGTATTTTGCATTTATCTGTGAACTGAGGAACGCGCTTTGAAATATGACCTTAAAAAGTGATTTATAAAAAAAAATTAATTAGAAATACTCAAAATATAAACTCATCTGAAGAATGGCTTTGAAAGAAACATTTGAAATTAACAAGTCTGTGTCAAGGTACTATTTCAATATTGAACGAAACATCTGTAGTAAGAATTTTTTTTTCTAAAAGTTGAACCATTTTTAAGTAGAAAACGTCTCTCTTCGTCTTCAGCACAACAGTGAACCCAGACACCTGGCCTGTGATGTACTATGACTTTTCACTGAACAGTATGATCATCCTGCTTTGGTCCTCCACTAAGCCCCCTTCCCCTGCCTAAGGACAGTTAAAATCCCCAAAACAAATCCACAACCTTGTAAGTCAAGTTAAAGCCGAGACATTCATAATTGTTTGGTTTTCTTATGTAGTGTGAAGTGAATGGGCAGCCCAGGGAGTTAAAACTATTTAGGGAATGCAAACTATGTTCATCTTCTGGAATGAGCTGCTTGAACTCCAGCTGCACTGTTAACTTGATCGTGGTTGCTGTGTGTAGTGCGTTGAACATCCCCAATGTGCAGCTGGAGTTTGGAAAGCTACAAATCTTTTTCTTTTATGTGTATTTATAAAGGAATGCACATTCTTGTATATATATTGCCATACTGAGCGTGTTTCCTGACATTGCTTGTTAGCTTTCTGTGTGGGGCTTCGCGTTTGTCTGCAAAAACCCCTTTTTACGACGTCTTCTAACCTAAACAGTTGCATCAAAGTCCACGTAACCTTTCAGAGCTCTTGTGTGTGGCATTTTATTTTAACATGTGTTACAATCCAGTACCTAATCTCTCTGTCCAGTGTTCCCTTAAAATGGTAAAGCTTTTTAGTCTTGAGGCTGGCCAGTGCCGATGAATTCCCAGGCAAAGTGTGCCTAAGGGTTAAGATGACTCACTCTGTATGTGGAAAAAGGAAGTGATGAGGAAAGAAAAGACTCAGGAAAAAAAATCCAAGCAGAGGACTGGGTCAGCACTGGCTCTGCGGCTGCTGCAGGCTGTCTTGGAGTGGCCTTCAGGATTTTCCCTGAACTACATTAAGTCATGTGAGGCCTTGGATTGGCCGTGAGTCCACACAGATCATTTAAAGCTTTAGTCCAGTTGCCTACTTTTCTTCTTCTATTGTTCTGTTAGTGCTGCCCTGGAAGTTATTTGGAGGTGTTCTCTTTTAGTTTAATCCATACAGTCTTCTGTGCCTGAAGGTAAATTGTGTCTGGATCACCGCTTGCCTTATGCAAGCATGTGTCCCTGGGACACACAAATGATATGGTCTTACCAGCAAGGTTCTGTTGGTTTCTGGTGATCCTCAGGGATATGTTGCATAAACACCGTGGCTGGAAATAGCTGACACAAAGTCTAGGTAACAAAGAAATTGCATTACACCAGCTCAGTCCCTTCTAAGAGAGGGGAAATGAAGAAGTTAGCTGTTTTAGACAATATGTTTTTGTTATTGCGTGCATTTTCCTACACTACTTATGCAACATGGTAGGACTGAAACACAACACGTTTGAAACTGACAATCTTACCTAACATTTGAGGTTGGAGGTCTAGAATCTACAAGACGGCTGAATAGGATTTAAAACTAGACAAGTCTTATCTTAACAAATGGCTACCCCTAAAACAGACCAGAAGAACCTGAACATAATTACAAGGATTAAATACCCATCTTGGATAGGAGCACTATGTGAAAGGATGGTTCAATAATAAGATGCTTGTTAACTATGCAAAGGCGAGTAGACAGTTTTTATTAACATATTATTCTGTAATCATCCTCCATCTCATTATACAGACCCTCCCTCACTCAGGTGGGAGGCTGGACTAGACAGATATCTTGTTAATCCACTGCAGCTCTGTTGTGTTAGGTGAATGAATCTTGCAGCAAATTAATATCATGAGTCTTTTTATAAACTATTTTTGTTGCTTCTCATAGTGCATTAAAACTTGGGGGTGTCTGTGGCTGTTTTTTTAATCTTTTCTTTGACCATTCTCAGGCCTATCTGGCAGCTAAGTTATTTACTGTGTCAAATATTTAGGCTGGTCTTATCCTTAATCTGTGGTTTCTTGCTGCTGGAGATAATGGATGTCCTCCACCGAAAAGTATGCCACCCACAGTTCACCTTTTAAGTCAAAAATAGTATTTGCCAATGTCCCCAAACAATTGTCAACAAAGGTAAGCAGTTAAAGTTGATGCTGAGATGGAGTTAAAGCTGTTATCTACAGGTAGTTGCTGCTTGAGTGAAAAAGTGTTGTGTTTATAGCTATGTAACTGCAGGGGAATAATGGACAGCTCTTCCTCAAACTATTTTCATAACCTCTCTGAATGCAGCTTTGCTGGGTGCTTAAAGTGCTTTTAAAATGCATTCTGCCAAACTTACAGCATTTGCAACCCTCAGTAACACCACTCGCTTTGTTTTCCTAATGTTTCTGTAGGGTTGGGGTTGACCCAGATCAGGATCCTCCACCTACTAATGACAGCTTTCAAGTCTTACAAGGAGTAAGTAATTACATAACTTCTCTATTAGGCTGATCTTATTTCATAACTAAGATGATAAAGAACTACAGAAGCTATGTGCATGGATAAAACCTTTCTCTCGTAGCTGACAAATCAGTGTCCTGGTTTTCAGCTGTCATAAAGTTAATTTTCACAAGAAGCTGGGAAGGAACACAGCCAGGACAGCTGACCCAATCTAGCCAAAGGGATATTCCATACTACATGATATCATACGCAGTTTATAAGGGGGGAGCTGGCTGGGGAGGAGGAATCACTGGGGATGGGATGGGCATCGGGTTCTGGGCGGTGAGCAAATTGTGTTGTGTATCACCCGCTTTGTATATTCTTTTATTAGTAGTGGTGATGTTATTTTCCTCTTCCTTTGCTGTCCCGGTAAACTGTCCTTATCCCAACCCACGAGTTTTACTTTTTTTCTTCCGATTCTCCTCCCCATCCCACTGTGGGGGAGAGGAGTGAGCAAGCAGCAGCGTGGTGCTCAGCTGCTGGCTGGGGCTAAGTCATGACAGTCAGTAATGCGTTTTACTTTATAATAATCAAGTAATGACCACCAAAAAACATTCTGTGGTGCTGGATGTAATGTTGCAGCATTCAGATTTTTATGTATATGTATAAGGCATTAAAAACCTTCCCAAATCTACTAATACTCTGTATTCAACAATGTGCTTTCCTCTTTCTTTTTTTTCTACCTACCCAACATGCTTACTTCTAACATGCTACAGCATAAACAGTCCTCCCCAAGACTGACCCAGAGATGATCCTCTTGGCTTCTGTTCAATAATTGATACCAAATTTTGGCCCTTGGACTTGCTTAGAATCAAAGATTAAGTTTGCTAATCCAATCTTAGCTCGTCTGTACTGTACTGCAAGCTGGCTGCATCTTGCCTGTCCTATCTACTACCTGTATGAGGCAAAAAGAGCACTGGAAAATTGTCATTTCTATTCAGCAAACTGTTGCTGTGAATATTAAAAGCAGCTTTCCATGCATCAGGAACAACCCAAAAGTTGACTTTTTTTTTCTCCCTGCAATATGCTATTGGCAAACAACATTATCAAATGTTGTTCATAGCAGAAATGTCAGTTTTCCTCATCTATAAACAGTGAATTCCAAGGAGGAGTGAAAGATCTGGAAAAAAACCCCAAACCACAGCATTTCCTGAGGTTTAACTAGGAGCTTGCTCTGTCCAGACCTTAGTTTACACTCTCCCAGAGCACTGCTTGATGCTAATTATTCAGTAGCACAACTGGTTGCTTATGTAGGAACCTGCTAGAGGAAGTTGAATGGCAGGAAGACAGATGACTTGGGACCCAGAGGATGCTTAGGGTGCAAGTGTGTGAACACTGCTTTCCAAACCTCAGGTTGTATGATGCTGGTGTTTTGGGCTGGTCAGGTACATGCATGGGATACTTGCTGTATTTGGGATCAGCTTTCTTATTAGTAGTTTCTCCTGCCTTTCTCCTTTCATAGTGGAAACTGCATCAGGCATCTCTGTGTTCTTTGTAGAAGTCTGTATTCAGCACACAAACTAGATTCTGAAATTGTGGGTTTGGGTACCAAAAAAGATGAACTTGGTTTTGTAGCTATGTGGAAGCAATCAGAAGGCCAGGCCTCAAAACACCTTCTACAATGAAGGCCACACTTGTTGCATAAAACCAAGGTTAGGAAGTGGTATCATGGTTGTTACGGTGAGATGGCTTTGGCCAGGTCAGACTGAGCCTGTCAGTATTTGAGGAATTGCTCTAGCAGGAAACAGAGCATGGGTATTCTGTTCTCATTCAGTGTCTGTGTGGAAATAACTTGTTTGCTTTTTTCCCATGTAAACATAGAGGCTTACCAATTTGTATCCCTCTTTAGCTGTGCATTGCATTCCTAATGGACTCCATTAGTCAGTTCCCTTTGGATTCCTCTTTCTTTCACCAAGCCAGGATTAGCAACATGTCACAGTTAAAGAAAATACATCATTTGGGAGTGAAAATATACTAAGCTTTAACCCTTGGTGGATCATGGATTTTTTTGCAGATCAGAAGTACACAGGGCAATCCCGTCTTGTTCTTTTCCAGTAGTTTGGAAGTTGATTCATATAAGGCATTCTCACTTCATCTGTTTTCCTGTGTTTAACTTTGGCCTCCAGCCAAAAAAAACCCAAAACCAACAACCCCTAACAACCCAAACAGTAACAAAAGTAAAAACAAATGCAGCTGCAGACCAGCTGGTGTGATGACTTGCAGCACATCTAGTAAAGGGATTATATTTAACACTGTTAACAGTGTTAGATATTTCTCAGCTTGATCTAGCACTTAAATTTTTCCTCAGTTGTGATTTTTATATGGATTCCCTGTTAAGCATGTTCTTCTAAGTGTGATTTTTTTTTTTTTAATCAGGTTTGCCAGAGTGTATCAGATATGGCAAATTCCCTTGTTCTTCCAAGGAAGCAATAGACTTAAGGAAAGAACATGGACTAGAGCTAAAGTTAAGGAAGCCAACCAAGCAATGACTAGAGATCAGTCTGGATTACTCCAGTTCATTTATTTGGGGAAGAGAATGGGGATGGGACATAATGAGGCTTATTTTGTCAGTTTTGGACTTATTTCTATATCCATTACCGCATTAATTGTGCAATAAGCTTTTAGACTCAAGGGGACTTGGTGGTAGAGGGCTCATTAAGGTAACATGAGGGTAATGAAGAGGGCCGCCTCCTTCTCTGCAGTTGTTTCTGGTCTTTCTAGGAAAAGTAACCTTCTCAGTATAAGCATGTCTTTAAATAGCTTTCTTCTGCAGTCCAAGTACAGTATTGAAGTAATTTGGCTTTTTTGGACAGGACATTGTAACACGAATGATTGGAATGTATGATTTGGAGTTTTTCTGTCTTAAATAACTGATTTTTTTTTCTTATTTTTAGGATGGCCCAGATTCTGAAAGAAGGAACAGGACAAAGCAGGAAAGTGCTTGGCTTTTCAGGCTATGGTATAGTTTTGACCATAAGTATCCTTTTGAAAACACAGCTTAGCTTCAAGGCATGATATGTTCACCTTTTTTTCCTTTCCATGTACCTATGTGTAGCCTTAAGCACTTGAGAGAGTCAAACAGGAGAAAGATCAAGTATTTGACAGGTTCAAGGCACAGAACTGAAGCTTGAACTTGCTGACTCAGAAGATGGACCTTTCTTTTCTCTAATGCATGGTATGACACACTTGCTGGAGGACAGAAACCAGTCAGTTCTAGGAGCTGAAGTCCTTTCCTAAACAATAAGACAGTCAATTAACTATTTCAGATCCTCTGATTTGTTCCATTAATCCGTTCTCATCTTCACTGATGCACATAGCACTAAACTAGTTTTCCAGTTCATTGTACGTGTCTAAGCCCCCACTCATTGCTCTGAAGAGCCATCTGCTTTTGTGATGAAGTCCTCTTTGGAAACCCATCACTGATACAGGAAGTTCTGGAACTGAAACTCTACACGTGAACCAGCTTATTCCCTTCAGTATATCCAGAACTTCCTATCGGTATTAGAGCACAGAGTGTCCTTGTGCATGTATATAGTACTCTACAACCTTTCTGAAGCTATTATTATCCTGAAGCTATTATTAACTATTTAGATAGCCTTGTTTAAGCTTCTGAGCATTTTTTATGTAGCTGTCCTGTCTTTCATGCTTGTGTTTTTTAAATCTACTTAGCATATTCATAATCAGTATATCATACAGGTGCCCCTCCTTAACAGCTTACACTCACTTGGTGGAAAATGGCAAAGATAATCTTGTGGCCATGGCAAGTAACTTATACTAAGAAAATCAAAGAAGTTTCAGTTCTTGATTCCTAGTAATTTTTGGAGCAGTTAAATAGATGTAAATACCGGTGACAGGGCCTTAATCTTGTTGCATCTGAGAAGTGAGTCTTTTCACTGGCATCCTGGCCGTTGGTTGATGTGAGATTGCTGGGCTAATTGGCACACAGTAGTTTCATTCCATGCCTCGTGCATCAAGATTTCCCACCCAGGGAAACCCAGGTATAGTGTTGAAAGCATTCAGATCCTAACAGCACTTGTCTGTTCAGGATAAAATCTGTTTGTGACTGATGCTTTCAGATGCAGTAGTATTGGGTCAAAGCCCAGAAGGGAGTGTATGTGCCAGTTTAAATACTCATAAATGTTAGTAAGTTCAAGTTAACCCTTTGAGTTGTAGTGGCTGGTGTCAAATTGTCAATTTTTGTTATTTAAAGAAGAAAAAGTCTCCTCTGGTAAGAGCATGGAAGGATCTGACTGTGGCTGACTGCTGCTTTTTTGTCCTTTTTAAGAAGGAAACTGAGCATCTTCTTCCTCTGCCTTTACAAAAGGGATGTGCCCGATGAAAAAAGGAGTAGTTGGCAATGCTGACTTCCCCTTGGCTGACGCTCGCACAAGTGCAGTCCCCAGCAGCTGCAGCAAGGGTCGGGGGAGCTCTAGGTGAAAATTACAGCTTAATGAGTTAACAGAAATGTAAAGGATGCTGATAGTGCATTTGCTTTTTCAGTGGTGACTAGCAATCTTTCAGGAATGTTTCTGTGAAGTTTGTGCTAAGGAAACTGATATCCAGAGGCAGAACTGTCTTACTGGATCTTAGAGGTAAAATTCTGCTCCTTCTGTTGCAGATAGGCATTCAGATAAACATTGGCTGGGTGGGCTTAAATTGCATGGAAGGGATGATCTTTAGAATTGCCACCTCTATACCCATGGCTAAATGTCAAAATATTTTTTGCTGGTGCATTCACTTGATTTGTGGGTAGAAAGGCAGATTGTCTCAAAATTCGCTCTTTGCAAGGGAACTTAACTTGAAAAAGACGTGAGCAAGATGCACTTGGCAGCGTGCTCCCACACTGGCTATTGCCTGCAGAGCTCTCTGTGGATGGATAACCAGGAACTTCATTCCTGTGGAACACAGAATTCATTTAATGTCATGGGCTGTTCCCTTGGTTCACCCACAATTATTAAACACAAAGAAAACTGCAACTTTGATGAAGTACCAGATGTCTTTTACTGGATTTGTTTTATTACGACCGAGTCACTGTGTGCCTGTCTGTCACAGGGCAATGTAGAGGCTGGTAGGTTAGTGTGAGGGGGAAGAGGTTATTTTTTTTTTTCCAGGACTGCGTGTAGCCACACTGTTACTGGGGGAGGGAAGGAGGAAATATAACTCTGCAGTAGCATAATCACACCATTATGTGCTGAAGTAAACATGCTATGCCAGGCTCTGCTAAAGGGGAGGGACACCTCTCTGCTAAAACAGCCCCTTTTTCTTAACTCCCTCTTCCCCCAAGGACCCAATCTGTTGAGAGCATCAGGGAAACTGTGTTGTATTTCACAAGTGAACTTGATTCCCTCTGTGCATAGAGGCCTAAGAACTTAACTAGAATACCTGCAATATATATTTACATTTAAAATAATGAGTGACTTTAAAAAAACAAACAAACCAAATCAACCACCAAACCCCTGTGGTCCTCATTTCAGACAATGTTTAGAAGTCTTAGCACTTTCCTCCTGAGCTCTGTTCTTGTGCCATTCAAGATCAGCATGCTGCTCTGTAGCAGGGACACCTTTTTTTGACTCCTGAGCATTTCCTCAGGCATATCATCAGTCTGGAGTACTAGTGTAAAGAAATACAAATTTACCTGGGGGCAGATCTATGAGGAGAGGTGTAAAGACACCTTTCTTTCCCATGCCTGTGCCCCCTCAATGTAATCTAGATAGCAATCCCTGGGCAGATGCTTTCCTTGCATGCTGTTACATGGTTCTTGCCATACAGGGGTTTTTTCCCTTTGCCTTTCTGAGGCTCTGTGTGGTATGTATATGGGTACTGCAGAGATGTCTTTTGGCCTTACCACTGTAAGATCTCTGGTTGTATCTCAGTGGCTCAGCAACCAGCTAGCAGTGGACAAGCTCAGGTGGCTGCATTGCTTGGAGGATGTTGGCTGGACAGTATTTCTTTATTTCTCTGTGTTGAGCCACATAGCTGTGTCCCCTTCTTACCGCTAGCTTGCAATGTCGACACCATGCTCCCACCTGCAGAGCAGAAACACCCTTGGACCTATTAACATTAAAGCGCTTGTACCCCTGCTTGCTCCTTTTGGCCCCAGAGAGCCCAAAAGCTGGAAACAGTGCCAACTGCTTTAAACTTTGAGAGGAGAGGTAGCTAGTTCCCCTTGCAGTAAATCTGTGGGTAAAGAAACTGTCCTTAAAAGGATTAAGGGAAAATGTTGGGGGGAGAAGTTTTTCATTTATTTGTTTACAAATGCAGATTTTTTCAATTAATGTTTTATATACAATTATTGAGCAGCACATGTATCAAAGGCAGAACCACAGTTATGTACAATTGTCTTTTACTTTCAGTAGTGTTTTTTGAGAACTGATGTGTTTTTTCCTTAACTACTTAAGTTATTTAAAGCCAATTCTCACTCACAGTGGCCCTCCGTTAACCACAACTCTACCCAGCTGGTGTGGCCTGATAGCGCGCTGTCTGACAAGTCCTCAGGTTTATGATGTAAGTAGAATGACTTGATACTTATGTGTTTTGGTTTTTATTTATTTAACTTCAGCAAAGCATTTTTTTTCTTTTTAGGTAAAAGGTTGGTATGATATACATACTGCAAGAAAGTGTTGGTTTGTCCTAGGCAGAAAAGATTTAAGATATCCTCCCCTGAGGCAACAGCTGCTGTTAGTAGAAATCAGAGATGATCTTATTGTTCAAACACTACATTAAAAAAAATAACATTTAAGGATATTGGAAAATTACAGGCCTAGTCAATAAACCAGTTCAGTGAATCACTTCAAAATATTCAGTCCCTTCCCAACATTTTTGGACAAGAATATTTCCTGTTACCAGTAAGTTTGCGTTGAGGTCTTCAGAGAAGACACTGACGCATTTACCCATGCTGGAAAGAAATCTGGTAGAGCTTCCCTTCATTGTTTCCACTGTGAAATTTGAGATCACATTTCAGAAAACGTTAATCAGTTACTTATCTCAGTCTAGCAGGTCACTATACTGTCTTTATAGCCATGTCTTGCAATAATTAATGCTTCATTCTCCTATTACTCTTGCAGGATCCTGATACATGGCATTCCTATCTATACAGTGCTTCTGAAATCTACAACGTTTTATGAACTGCTCATAAATAAAACCATAGTACTATGTGGGATCACTCAAATTTCCAGGTTCTCTGGAATGCTAACATCTCTGCTATGTTCAAGTACTCTTGGAACAGATTTCTATTAATCTTTTCCTAGAGAGTTATGAATTCCACCTGCAACTTTGAAGTACTTCCCTGCATTTCTTTCTAGTATCATTAGCATCTTTACCTGATAGTAAAATTTCAAAGAAATTTGAAATGTCTGCTGCCTATTTGGAGCTATTAGTAATTCAAGAAATTGGCCTTGTTCCCATCTTTTCAATGCTACTGGAGATCTTAAAACAGATCTCGGCTGGAAGGCATCCATCAGACCAATTAGCCTACTTGTGTGTTGCCTGTGTGTATCTATGTATGATCTTATAAGATTAGTTATCCATTAACTGAGGATCTAACCAGACTGAACATGGAGGCTTTGGCTTTCATTTTCTCTAAGAGTTGGGCTATTTTTTATCTCTTTACTCCTCATTTTTAGCTGCTACCGTATGTAGAAACTTATTCTTTAATTGGATTGATTCTATCACACACACACACTCCCTCTTGGGATGTGAACTTCCATCACTAAAAATGCTTATAAGGCTGCCTATTTTGTTAAGGTGTATAATGTGGAACTTTCACATTGGATTCTCTCTTCTTGTTCCTGTTTTGGTGTATGCGTTGCTGCATTGGTCTTAGAAATAATATAATTTTGAGATTTTGTTTCTAGTTTATTTTCAAGATTGCTGAACTCTGCAGTTGCTTTATTGTTTTTCATTTCTTTGCGTGGCTGGCTTTGCTACAGCTCTGTGACTATACCATTTTGTTACTGACTAAAAAGCTGTGGAATCTTTTGCCTTCTTATTAAGTGCAGGTGAAAGAACTGAGCCAAGTCTTTGAGGGGACAGAAACTGCTTGGAATAGTTGTGCTTTTGTGAGGCATTTCCAGGAAAATGGAATGGTACATCTGAGAGAATTAAAGACTGAAGACTTTGAATTAAACAGTCTGTAAATATTCAACAGAATGTAACGTAGCTGGAGAGCGTGTTTCAAAAAGAAGTAGTAAATCCTAGATCTACATTTGGGTGCATGTCTGAGCAGTTATGGTGTCTACATAGAGAAGAAAGCATACAAGTATGTGGCTTCACTGACTGTATATTTGTGTATTGTTTTCAGCTTTTGTTGTTTGGGGTTTTTTTACTCTGGCTTTATTACAACCTTTTTTAGAGTTCACTTTTACTTCTGTGAGTGGGACTATCTCTTTTTAATTAGATGCCAGAGCAGGGGGAGTGGGGGTATTAAAGTCTGAAAGGCAAATAATCTTATTACACAGTCCACCTAAAACCTATTTCTAAGTATGAGATTGTGACCTCTAAGGATGAATTTGCATGGCGTACATGTAAGGTTCTGAGTCAGCATGCAGGGGTGAGTTACAGAGGATTTTTTCCGGAGCTGCTGTTACTATTCCCTGCTGATGTTCTCCCACTGCTTTGAGACTGTGCCATTAGGCTCACCGTTAAGTGTTCACCACCCAGACAGAATCCGAGTAGGAACTTAAAAGCACGAAAGGTTGCTGTAGTTAGTGTTTAAAATTATAATTTTCAAAAATTCACTCTGATTCTTCTTTCCTGGTGATCTTCAGCGCATGAGCATTTGGCAGGGCTGTTCACTTTATTCCGAACTAATGTAGGCCACACTTTTCTTCCCTTTTGACTGTCTTTTGAAACTTTTAGTAATGCTCTGTTTCATCAACCATTTATCCCATTTGGAAGAAGCACCTGTGTTATCACCTGCTCTTTCTGATGAAGCACTCCTGGGGATTTTTGCTTTGCTTGTTTGTTCGGGGGTGTGTTTTGTGTCCTACACACTCTCCCGTCCATTTTTTTGGAAAGTTTAGGTCTTGCACCATACGCAGTGTGGCAACTTGGTATGAAAGTAGAGAGAATTGAGTTATTTTTCTAAATGTGCAAACCCAGTAAAGAAACTTCATTTGCGGTCTATGTAAGTCTTGAAGGAGGTAACTTTCAAAATTGGTAAGAAAACTGTTCAGCCTTGCCTCCCGCCTCCCCTTTCTTAGCGGTTCTAGCTTCATAGCAAAAATTTGAACTCAGCTGAGAAATGGAGAAACTCTAAGCGGAACATCAGATGTTTTGCATGCATACTACTTGATACTTTTGGTTTGGAGCCACAAGATAAGTAACTTCTGATGCAAGTTTTGTCATCCATGATGCCTGTGTTATGTTCAGCACCAGCAGCGTACATGGTGACTGCCAGCGTTTTGTATGTGTGGTGTTCTTTGCATGTGCTTCTTTTTGCATTGCCTTGGGAGGCAATAAAGACTGTCTCTGTAAGCAGTAACTCTAAATAAGCTTTAGCCATTTTAACGTCTCCAGCACGCATTCTTAGGAGCATGAGCAGATTTTACCACAAATGGGACAGAGCTCTGTGAAGTCCCTCATGGTTATAGTCAGCTCATCAAAGCAAAATTCAGTCTGTTGTAGGGTTTTGGATTTAGGTACTTAGCCATTCTAGTATGTCATTTTAAGTAGTGAAGTTCAGACCTGTGTTTCTTGAGCGAATTGAAGCTATTCCAACAAAACTGTAGGGGATTGCAGAGGCCAGTTTAGGGTTATTTCTTGGAAGAATGTCAAGTCTCTAGGGATACACTTGGATACATTTCCTGTCTGTCTTGAAAGAATTGTTCAGGCTGCATGAAGCACAGTAGGTTTATTCACCCATCCTCTTTGCTTGTAAACATAGCAAATCCATATACTACATGGGATCGCTCATGGAGGTTCTCTGGGGAAATATATTAAATATATTGCTTGCTGCTTGCAGTGCTATTCAGAAGTGAAATAAATAAGCGGAACTTGGCTCATACAAGGCAATGTTTGTTCACTTTGAGAGAAAACTTAATGTTTTCTCTGGAATTGATCATGTTTATGTACACGTAAGTACAGCCTGGGACAAACCAGCAAAGGCTAAGTTAAGACTTGCCGTATAGTGTAACGCCTGCAACCCTCTCCTTTCAGTACCGTGCTTTCAAGAGCTTTTCAGCCTTTTGAGGAAACTCGAGTGTAGTGTGTGTTCTTACCAGTTTCTTACCTGATAGGTGGCTGCAAGGATTGGCTGTTAAATAGCATTGTGGAGACAGGAGGTGCTTTGGGAGCTTGCTGCAGCCGCTTCACATGTGGCCCTGGTATCACAATGCCTCCTGGTGCGCTGTTAGCCCTGCCTTCCCCTCCTTGGGCCTTCTCCAAGGGCAAGCACCACGAAAGGCAACTTGTGATAGAGCTTCTCAGCTGCTTCCACTTCTTAAAAGATAACCAGTCAGCAGTCACACACTGCCTGCTTCTTACTTGTTTTTCTGCTTTTCGTCTTTGTTTTTGAAGAAAAGACATTCAAATAATATATAGGGATATCAGATTTTCTTACATGGTCAGTTATTTTGTGTATCTTTCTTAATCATCTTTGTCTTGTCCCTCAGACTTTCACTTTTTTTGAACAGAAAGCTTGTAAAGGCTATTTCTGCCAAATATAGCTGAACCTTTTAATTTCTGCCTTTTTTCTTTTTAAGATAGTGACAGGAGTTTAGTGTTTTCTTTGCAGTCAAAGAAAGCAAGTGTCCAAAACTCTATTTGTTCTTTGAGAACAGTGCTCTCTATCACAATAACCCTGTCTCTAATAAGCGATGATAAATTTGGATGCCACAAAGGTTCTGAGAAATTAGCATTCATTCTAAATAGGGCTTGTCTTGCACCCAACACTGAACTGCACCATTTCTTTCGTTGGTTTTGGTAAACTCCTGATACCTCTTCCAGTCCTCATGAGTTAAATATTCTGTATCATCTAGAGGCTTCTGCTGCTTTATTTTGGCTGATTATCGTTCTGAAATAATGACAGGAAGCTTTTGGAGGAAGTTTTATTTAGCCAGGCACTGCATTTTTCATCGTGGACAGCTTAATTGGCATTTTCAATCTCAAGTGCTCTGAACTCTTGTTCTGCAATACAGGTAGGGCTTTCTGGTCAGGCTGATGACAGGCATTCTATCTCATGTAGTCTGTGCCCCCCTTCCTTTGCCAAAGGGGAAGAACATGATGTATTTTTTGAATGTAGCCTGATCGATGTCCAGCCTACTAAGGAGAGCAGCAATAGACACACACTTAAATTTCAGCTCTTGCTAAGCAGTACAGAGCTATTCACGTGGGGAAATACTTGCTTTCAGTTGCAAGAAAGCAAGTTTATAGTACTGATAGAATTTTCTTCAGATATGAGGAAGCCCCATTTCCTGACCAGTTCAGCTGGTTTGCCTTTTACGAAGACCATGTTAGACAGGAGTGAAACACACTACAATTGCTTGCTGTTTTGTTATGCTGTGTAGAGAAATTGTTTTGTTACACTTCAGCAATTTCCAGTCTCTGACAATATATTTTATCCCATCTCTGCCAAAATAAATCCACAGAGTTTCATGAGCCACTTTCTTAAATTATTTTGAAAAGAAAACATCAGAAATAGTTACAAAACTAGGAGGCAAGCACTTGTATCGGTCTTTTTGTACTTTTATGGCTCAGGACCATTCCTAAGAACTAGGTCAAGTAATTCCCTATTCAGTACCAGGTAAGAGTAAGCAGATGGTTTAAAAGAGTGTGGTTATTTTTTGATCTATATTGTTGAGGAAACCTTGAATATAAAGAATTTGGGCCTAATGAGTTTTTACCAGTTTGCATGAGTCTTTTATTAATGAACTTGACTAATTAGCAACAGATACAACTGACTTTGTATCTGGAGTGACTTGATTGTGTTTGGTCTCAGTCTTTTTCCTGTACTGCCTTCTAAATTGTCATGTGAAAACCAGTGTATACTGCTCATCTCCCCCATACTTCTGGTAAACTTCCAGTGCTATTAAATCCCTAGTTACCTTTTCATAATCTAGTTCTTGGATTCAGCTCCCCCTTGTCTCTCCACAATAAGCAGTAGTTGTACAACAAGCAGTAAGCTGATTTGCAAACACTGTTATTTTTAACATTTCTTAAGGTGGAACTGTACCGCTTACTGCTTCTGTGTTGACACGGAGGTAAAGTCTTCTGTTCAGTTAACTTCTTGGCAAAGACCAGATGTTATGCACTGTACAAAGATTTTTCTTCTTGTTTTCCAGAATCAAGAACAGCTTAGAGAAGAGGATTCTGATTTTATTCTGAATGATGGTGACCTTACTGTGACATATGGTGATACAACAATAACTGCAAACGGTTCTTCTGGCCCCCATACAGCTACCACTAGTCTTGACGGCAGGAGAACAAAAAGTAGTTCAGAGGAAGCACTGGAACGTGATTTGGGAGCAGCAGATCATGAAGTTACAAGCAGGGGCACCCGACTAGTATTTCCTCTGGAAGACAATGCATGATTACTGACTCAGTAAAAATAACTCTTGCTCTGTGGATGGATCAAGGAAGACTGCGGGCCACTGTGTCACTTGAGGGGGGGACGTTTGTTTAAGCGAGTTAACATGCATAAGAGGTTTTACTAGGGTCTGAAGATGGCACCTCTTTTTTACTCAAGATGCTGACAGTGGGGTTTTCTAAATGTCTGAAAATAGACAAATGAGAAAACTGGTCATTCTCCTCTTTTCAACTGCATATTGAGTCCAAGTATAACTAGCATGCTGCAATTGTCTTGTTCAGCTGCAGCAGCTCTCTCTGAAGAGAGGTACATGAAAATATTGTCACAGAACTGAGCTTGTCTTGGCTTAGCTTGGGAATGTGGAAGAAGAAATATAAACATGACAATTACTAGGAGATAAAAAAGGATGCGTGTGTATCTGAATGCAGAGAGATCCATTGTTAACTTCTTTCATGAGGTTGAGGAAACTATAAAGGAAACCAGGACAGTATACATTAGGACTACAGGTCTATGAATGCAAGACTCTGTGGGGAATCTGTTACTGCATGTATTTCAGGGAAAAAAGGGAAAAGGAGATTTCTTCACTGGCCATGTGTTTAAATAGGAAGGCAACGAGAGCTACTTGTCCCTTTAGCTTTGGGCATCTTGACTATTACTATTAGCCTAACTTCTAGTGCCTCAAAAGAAAAACATCCAGCTTCCTGTGGTCTAAGACATACCTTGACCCAGCACAAGCCTGGCGCCAGGCTCTCTCGGGTAGAAGTCATGAGGTAAAACTGTCTCTCCATTAAGGTTCTTAGAATCGGATGAAGATAGTTTGAAACGTATCTTCGGCTGGGGAAAACAGCAGTTAACAGGAGGAGAGGGGAAAAAAGAGAGAGACAGGCAGTATTGAATTTGCATGGAACCACAAGGTTTCAATATCGCTCAGAAGAATCCATGGACTCTGCTTACAGTTCTTGTGTGTGACAAACAGCAAACATCTAATTAAACAGACAAGCAAATACTACTGGCTTTACCATTTGTGACTATCCTAAAGAAAGGTGTTTACTCTTGTTCTCTTTCGCAGAGTAGATGTGAAACTTCAGTGGGGCATTGCACAATAACGTATAAGCTGCAGACGTGACAAACTAGTATCATCTTCAATGTGAAAAGGGAAAAATCTTTGCCTAGTATTTAGCCCACTTACACGTAGGCTAGCTTTAACTTATTGCTAAATGCTTTTTAATTTCCAAATGAGGAGATACCATCGTCTTTTGCCAATAGCTGAAAACTCACGCTTTGAAGAGCAGTTCAGCTATTTAAAGCATGCTAAAATGTGATTTCATTCTCATGTCTCAAAAGGTATATTTTTTTAAAGAGTTCTGTGGCCCACTAATGTGATGTAATATCAATTTGTCTAAAAAAAAAAAAAAGTGTGTTTTTCTTGCTGCCATTTCAGTTGTTCCTCTCATAAAATTGTGTGTGAATTAATACCCGCTCTGTTTTTCCTTAACTATTAAACTTAACGGGCTAACTTTGGTACGAGAACTTACTGCTGTAGAGAAACATCGCAGCCATATTGTCCCGTCTGCTTTCTTTCAAATGTGTTCTCTGAGTGATCTACCTCCTTGTCTGTCCCTCCACGGTAAATTTGTAAAGGGCACTGATCTGTAATGACTGTCTGACATTACTGAGAAGAGAGACACGAGGAAACCAGAAGCTTTTTTGTGGAAAAACTGGAAGAGCAATACAGTCTGAACTCTGTTCTTACGTGCTGAAGAGTAACAAACCCTGATGAAGATCTCTGAGCAGAACATCTCCTTTTCAGTTCTCATCTGCTTTCAAGGAAGACAAGGCAGATAGCAGTGATCCATGCTATTTATACTGTTTACATGGCTTGTTTTTTCTTTAAGTGCTCTGGCAGTAGAAAAAAATAGTTTCCTCCTAAATTACAAAAATAATTGCATTAATTTTAGACAAGTCTTTGGGACCCACGCTGTCAATGCTGAGCGAGGACTTGAGATTTCTACAACAATTAGAGTTGTTAGCTGAATCATATTAATCAAATTTTGTGTTGAGATAGTGAAACTTACCGAAAATAAATGGACTTAGTACAGTGAGGCAAATCTTTACGTGCAGCTTGAAGCTGAAGCTTACCCCATCACTTTGGCTGAAAACCAGAGTCTTATGCAGAGTTATCTATTCTTTGGAAGAAAGATCAGGCAGTAGAAATTCTGTTTCATTAGCTTCCTCGGGAAGACTGAATCTCTTGAAAGCGTCAATAAACCATCCCAGTGCAGATGCTTCTCTGTCTGTGTTTTTAATTCCCATCATAGCAAAAATATATAGTTGAGTGGAGTTTACCAGTAAGCCCAAAATGTGATTGTGAAAGAGGAGCCAAAATAGACAGATCGTCGGTGAGAGGTGAGGAATATAATAGTCTAACTTCACATTCAAAAATGGTGAGGAGAGGCCCAAAAACATAAGCGTAATTTTTATTTATACATTACATCAATTTTATTCCTTGATTTTTATCTATTTTGTTATTTTAAGTCATCTTCCAGAATTGGACATCACTGCCAACATAAGGTAAGCCAAAACTTCTCTTCTTACTACTGACACTGATCCTTGTACCAAATTTCCAAGGGACTCTACTAAAAAGGGGAAAAATAAAAAAAAAAAAACTTCCTTGTCCTTGAAATGCTGCATATTTCATCTATCCCTTTTTCTCTTGTGTATATCCTTTTGAAAGAGTAGTTTAATACTTTCAATTCTTTTCCAGTAAAATCCTGAGCTGGCAAGAACTTGACCGAACCATACCAGCAGATGTGTGTTTTCTTATAAACTTGGTGTGAGGTTTTGAATAGAAAACACATCTTAAGATTGTAGTGATCAGCAATTGATACATATTAGTGTCCTCTTCAACTTGAAAAAGAAAACCTGTGAGATTATGGTCTTCACTGGAAAATAAAAGTATCGCTGTGCTAGCACAGGATGTTGCAGGTTACGTGGCTGCCTTTGTACTTGGGACTGAATGATTTCTCCTTGGTTTTTGCTTGCTGTGTTGTCAACTTACTGCTGAAAATCTTCACTTGAAGTTGCCGGTGATTTTGCTAACTTCAGTCCCTGGAGAAGGGCAAAACAAAGTCCCTAATCTTATGTCAGTGCTTCATAGAAGCCAATACTGACAGTACGGCGAGACTTCCGCAGCTGCTTGAACTCCCCCGCAAACAAATCTTTCCAATTTATTTGTGCTAAAGGCTGTAGCAATCCACAAGCGGCACACAAACATGGTGTTTAAACAGACTGAAAAGTTATCTAAACCCTTCTGTGTATTCATCTATAATGTTGGGAGGCGGGGAGGGGATTAGAAAGATTTTCACTTACAGAATTTGGAAGAACACAAAATATCTAGAAAACTGGCACTTCTGTGCTTTGCTAGTTAATTCAGTGTGTGTGAGAACCGATCACGTTTTGAGTCACCTGGGCAGCGCTGCACATCTTTTGTGCAAAAGAGCAAATTGTCTGAACTTCCATGGGACTAGAGGCAGTTTATCACTTTCTTAGCCTCACTACAACCACGAGCATAACACTAGATTTCTCGGGGCGCTGTTTGTGCGAGGCGTTCAAAGCCCTGCTTACGCTGGCTGTGGCAGTGCCTCTCCTTGTCAGAAAGGAGGAACAAACGCTACGACAAGCGTGTTTGTGCTGTGCGTTACATGTCTGCTGTGCAGAGGAAGGGTATGGTGTAAGCTGCCTTTTCCCATCAAGACTGAACAAGGGTAAAGTATCAAATACTTGGTACTTGACAAAGTTTTGCCCTGTTCCAGGGTTGCACAATTTTTGGCCTACAAAAGGACAAAAAAAAAAAAATTAAATTTTTTTGGTTTTATGCTGCAGGAATTGCCTTTGGGGAAATGACTGCAGAAATATTAAGAGGAGGGGAAAAAAAATCTAAGCTTTTTTGGCTGAACTTCCAAAGAGCTGATCTGAAGCAGAGGTTAAAATAGTGTCTACTACTACATGATAGCTACTACCTTTTACTCGGTGGACAGGGAAAGACCTCATAGTAGGAAGTCTAGCAACCTTAATAGACAGCACGAGCAGCTTACGTTAACTAGGAGAGCAGGTCCTGTAATTTTAATCTCTCTAGTCAGGGAGACAATTTGTAGGTTTGCATGGAAAGCATGGTCCTTCTTGTATAATTTCTATTTAACTTGAATTGCAGTCTCTTTCCAGACAGCGTTGGTCAGAGGAGCTTCTTCAAGTCTAATTTGTAACAGTAAAACCCTGGACACTAATATGCTTCACATGCTTTTCAGAGAAAGGTTCAGTTTTTATTTTAACTCTGTTTGAAGTAGCTCACAGGAATAACACGCTTGACCTCAGCCTTGGCAGAGATGGTCTCTGCCTCCCCGCAAGTGTGGGAAAGGAATGTGAGTAACCAGAGGCCTCGACTTCATGCGCTTTTCTTTAAGATGCGGGTGAGGGGAGGGTCTTTTTCGGGGAGAAACCAGAGAACTTACAGATGCATCAGCAGGGAGCATTCCTCTCCAAAATACTGAACTCGTGACCTGCTGAAACTTAGAAGCCAGGGAGGATAAAGCATGACGAGGAGGTAGAGACCACCAGCAGGAAAGCAGGCTGTACAGAGTCAGGTTGGGCTATATGCTATCATCTGGGTCATCATCAGAGTCACGGGAAGTAGGGCAGAGCTGCTTGGTGGCATGAACACAGTCCTAAGAGAAAAACAGGTAGAATAACAATTTCAAATGTCCCTATAATGGAAAAACCCTCTTTGTAAGAAGCGGTTCGTGCAAACCTTACTCGCGGTGCTGGAGGAGGGTCTTGCGTCCCAAGTCTGGGGAGGGGAGTTTAATACTGCGCAGTGAGAAACCACAGATATGTCTTGGCCTGGGATTTTTGGGAGGGTCCTTCTGAAAAAAAACTTCCTGTAGAAATAAGCCTGCAAAGTGAAAGAGGAGGAAAGTGTGGAGGAAATAGTGAATTACAAAGCCAGGAAATGGCTTAAACAGGCAGCTGTACTGTGGGAACAGCGTTGTCAACAATTGTTACTCTTAATCTTGCAGTCCTAACTGCTGAGAAGTTTTGTGAACTGCATACCTTATCCTAAAACAAGGGTAATGGGATAATGCAAAATGGGTAAGTAAACTACCCCCATCCTAATCGAT